CGGCAGCCGCTGGCCCCGGGGACGGGAGCCGCGCTCCCCGGCAGGTGAGTCCCGTGTCTCCGGCGGCCCCGGGCTGATTCCTCGTCCCGTCCCTTGCCATCCCTTAAATGTCTGCTGATGGAGCTGAGTCAGGGGATGATCAATCCTTTTGAGTGGCGGCTTCTGCATTGTTTCCTGTTCCCAAAATCCCGTGCAAATAAATCCCTTCGCTGTGGCGCTAATTCCCCCAGCCCTTCCGCCCTCCCTCCCCTCGGGACGTGCAGAGCAGCTCCCCCTCCCCTGCATGTCGCAGTTCTGGTGGCCTTGGGTGGGCCCTGGGAGCATTCGGCTTCCCTGTTACTCCTTGGAGTAGTACCTCAGTAGTACCTCAGTAGTACCTCAGCAGTACCTCAGCAGTACCTCAGTAGTACCTCAGTAGTACCTCAGCAGTACCTTACCTCAGCAGTACCTCAGCAGTACCTCAGCAGTACCTCAGCAGCTCCGAGTTTAGCATGTTTTCTGTGATGTTTGGTCATTGTTTTGTAGGATGGCGCAAACCCAGACCCACTCATCATGTCTTCAGAACAGCCTCAAGATGGGGAAGAAACTCTGCTCTGAGCTTTTTCTGCAGCTCCTCAGTGCTGTGTCCATGCACTCAGCCGGCTGTGGCTTTGTGCTGGTTGGGATTTCGCTCCTCTATTTACTCTGAGTACCACAACCTGTCACGTTTCACGGGAGCAGCTCCTCAGCGTGCAGCAGACAAAGCTCGTGTTTGCCAGCCCAGGTAACAGCACTCCTTTGGAAGAATGAGGACAGAAATCACAAGGATTGTTCCAAAAAAAGCTGTTTGGCTTGTTTTTCTTCAAAACTAGAGAAATACTGGACTGACTGAACTTCCCCTCCTGCCCTAGGCACCACTTGCTCCTGCAGGCAGGCAGGGCTTTTATCCTGGAATCTTCCCCACCCCATGTCAGAGGAGGGGAGCTCCTGCACTGCACAGAGCCCCTGGGCCAGGGGGCGTGTGGGGGGTTTCCCTCTCCCTGGGGATCCAGCCTTGCTGCTGACCACACTTCAGGGCATTCTCAGCACGTGGAAATGTTGTTGAAAGTTGCCACATCAGAACAATTGTAATAAGTATTTGTAAATACACAGAGCCTGTCCTGCTTTTGGTGGAGTCCTGCAGGAGTGGTCCATGGAACTTCAGCTGAGGTTGCCAGGAGGGTGGTGAGTTTAGACCTGGTGCTAGCTGCCCGTCTCTGCAGCACCTCTGTGCTGCACCTCTAGCAACAAGGGGCCCCTAGGAGCCTTCTGGGCTGGGCATCTGGGGCTGGGTGTGCAGCAGCCTTTAGGCACTCTAAGTTTGGTGGGTGCAGCAGACTCAGCCCCACACAGTGGGGGACTCTAACTTCATTTTCAAGTAGGGAAAAGACACTGGAATGAGCAGGACTTTGAGTGGATTGGTGCTGTGAGTCATTTCAGATCACTATACATGGAACTGGAAATTCAAATGTGATCACAGGTACTGTGTGGTTGCTCCTGGAGACGTTCCTGTACTAGAGACGTTTGCATTTGTACATTCAGTCTGCAATATTCGTGCTACAAACTGTCTCAGAGGGTTGTGTTTTCTGTGTCCATACCCACACGTTCACTGAGGTCTATTAAATACTGTACCAGTCTGTGCAGCTCCTTCAATTTGTGCCAGTGGTTTAACTGTAGGAATAACCCCTGCCAATGCAGCAAGCCCTGAGCTTCAGTGTCTGTCCCTGCTCGCCAGGGCTGACTGATGTGCTGAGTGTTTGTGCCACTAAAGCTGCCTTGAGCAGGTACCCCTCTAAAGCTCCTGCCCAGGGCTGCAGGTGTGGCCACACCTGGGTGTGCAGACACACGGGTGGCAATGCCAGGGTTGCAGGTGAGCAAAGACAGAGAGGGATGCAGGGATTTGCCTTTGCAGAGATACCCTGGGAGCCCCTCCAGGGCTGCAGGAGACCCAGGGCATCAGAGAAGGCTTTGATGAACAGAGCAGTGTAACTGTAAGGAACTGGAATAGAGACAGTTCATTATTTGACATTCTTGAAGTATTTATAAGTGACTCTTATGTGTATGGTTGTAACAGCTGGGGGAAAGAATCCTATGGTTAGGAACACATACATGGACTTCCAAAACATTAGTGTCCCTGTCATTTGAGCAGGCAGAAGTTTGGTAAGCAAAACCATGGAAATGGATAATTGTATAGGTTTGGAAAAGCTTCCCATGGTCCTTTCTCCTCTCCTATATGGTGCTAATTAGTAATTAACTTCAAAGTGAAAAGTAGGTTGCACTTTGGGAAAAACAAGATGTGCAGCAAAAAGAAAAAAAGACTAATTATTAAAGTGAGCATATGTGAGCAAAGCAAACTATCCAACAGAGTTGCCACTGGCAAAACTCATTCTTGGCTCATCAAGAAGGCTCTTTTAACTCCCTGAGGTGTCAGGTATTTTCTGTAGCCTGTCACTGCCTCCTGAGGGTTGTACCTCAGACATGTCTCACAAAGCTGGAACCTGGTGACATTGCACAGCTGCAGAGACGCATTTCATCAGTTCAAAACCATGCCAGCTGTGCAAAGCAGACAGAGGATGGGAAAGGTTTAAAGTGCAGCTCCTGGAGCGGGGCACCAAGCCCTGGCATTGCTGGCAGAGATGTGGAATGCTGACTCACAGACACCACCAAGGATGCTGGGTGTGGGCAGCGTGGGCAGCTCATCCATCTGTCTGAAACGAGGGCTGCAAGGTGACTTTCCTGGCTGGCGATTGCCTGAGTGGTTTTGGGGCTCAGCTGTACAAACCAGACATGACAGACCCCTCTGCCTACCCATTGGGACTGAGCCTCTGAGGCTGAGCCTTCTGTGCAGTGCCAGCTGTTCTGTCCTGTGCTGTCCTGTTCTGACCTTTTCTGTCCTGTTCTGACCTTTTCTGTCCTGTGCTGTCCTGTTCTGTCCTGTTCTGTCCTGTTCTGTCCTGTGCTGTCCTGTGCTGTCCTGTGCTGTCCTGTGCTGTCCTGTGCTGTCCTGTTCTGTCCTGTTCTGTCCTGTGCTGTCCTGTGCTGTCCTGTGCTGTCCTGGTTGTCCTGTTCTGTCCTGGCTGTCCTGTGCTGTCCTGGTTGTCCTGTGCCATCCCACGCCAGCACTCCTGTGCCATGCTGTGCCAGCACCCCTGTGCTGTGCCATGCTGGGGAATTTTGGGACCTGCTGCAGGGATGCCAGGCTCACTTCTGGCTGCTGTCCAAACCCTTGTTTGCTTGGACACCAGATTGCTTTAATCTAGATCACCTATTGCCGATACGTTAAACAATTTAAAATATCACTGCATCAGCCAGGTACTGGCAGGTCTCCAAAGCAGGGTAGGAGTTCTCTTAGCCTCTCATTCTTGGTAAGTATTTCAGTGTGCCTGGGCTTCTCTGGGAACAGCGCAGGTTACTTGCACTCCCACAAACTGCTTTGGAACATGTCCTACTCATTTATATTTTTCAGAGTTTTTGTTTGTTTTACTAACTGATCACTCCTATGAAACACATTCTCCCCCTGAGCCTGATTTTCTTCTATGGAGAGCAATTAACTAAGACATTGTTTCCTTCAAGGAACTAGTAGTTTTAATTA